ACATGGCAACTCCTGATGTCTGGATTACCCACAGCAAAGGGTACTGCTGTGAAAACGCTCTGGAGAAGGTGAGACCTCCTGAAAGGGTGAGTCCGGCGACAGAGGAATGGCTGATAACTGTGGCCACTCTACTTTCAGAGTGACTCATGTGGCCCCAAGGAGCCCCAGATGGACATTAGGAGGTCTGCTTCTAGGGAACAGGCAGCACCAGCTTGCAGAGTCCTCCAGCAGGCTGTTGATCCCCACCAAGTGCCCACCTCAACCACTCCCACTTCCCCCTCCTCCATCTTTGCAGCCTCCCATCTCTACCCCTCAGCCCAGCAAAAGCAAATTCTTTTGACTTGCTTGTGGATGGGATCTTATGGCTAACTTTCACTGCTTTGGATTTTGCAGGCACATTTACCCCCTGAGTCTCTACCCCCAGAGACTTCACAAAGTATTTTTGTACAATATTCTCTCCTTGAACTTTGAGTGAGAAATTGTGGTGCTAGGTGTTAAAATAATAAACGTTGAACCTGAACCACATAGGTGTCTCCCTAAATCCACAACAGCCACTTGATATTCCCATTTTACAAATGAGGAGAGTGGGATGCAGATTGGTAAGATCTCAGAGCTAAGGGGAGGTGTCACTCAAAAATTACAGGAGGAAAAAGGGAGGGAGGAGAAAATGTGCACTTATGTGATATATATGCTTATGTATCACTTAAAGACCAAATGTAGAATGGTGTCCCCACATACAGAATAACCATAAGCATTTATTAATTAGCATTCTATTTGGTATTCCATTGAGAAAGATAATCCTTCATAAGACCAAATAAGACCTCTTGACTTCGCTAAAACTGCCATTCTGTTAAATAAAAAAAAAGACTCAGGGTGGGCTTCCGCTAAGTAATATATGAAATATGCAATTCACACTTTCTGGCAAAATTGAAGCAGGTGAACTCTAACTGACAGGAAGTAATGAGTGTAATAAGCTGAAGGGAATATCACAGTTTAAGCAACCATATGCTTTAGTTATCAATAGGAGCATAGAGGCATTTGTCCCCCAAATTCACTTGGTGGCTCTTTTCTTAAGTGTACCTAAGTGGATTTTCTCCCATGGTAGAGCCAATTTAGAAAAATATTTGGGGGACTCTTTTCATATGATAAAGGTGATTCAGAGCCAACTGAATTAAGAGGGAAGCTTAGTGGTGGGTGGGCTCATAGGATAATAATACCTGGGAGGCACTGTGGTGGGTCCTGGGTCCCAGTCCTGCTGTGTGATTCTGGACATGGAACAAGCAAACACTCTGAACTTTATCTCTGATGTAGGGGAAAGGTCTCCATCACATTAGACTGCTCTGAAGATGAAGTTGAACATGGATATGAAGCATCCTACAGCCTGACTGTCGTGCTCAATAACTGTTAGTTCCTATGCTTTAGTACAATTTTCCTGAAAGCTCCTTCAGCCCAGAAGCAACCAAGAGTTTCAGGAGCTACTGTTAATTTACTTACCGTCAATTTTTCTATCAGGTGCCATGCTCGACACTGGAATTGCAAGATCAAGGAAGTTAGCGTCTTTTAGTCAATGGGGTTATTGAATGACAGGGAACCAGAGAAACCAGCAAGCAGCAGCGACCCACGTGGGAAGAGCCTATTCGGGATATTGACCAGGTGGCTGCGCATGCGCATTTGCCTGCGCCTACACAAGAGTTCTGCAGAGGCAGCGTCCGGGACCCGGGAAGGGGGAAAATCTGAAGCTCTCTGGGTTGTCAAGCCCAGACAGAAGTTGCCCGTGTGTTAATAAAGATGTGTTGAAATTATTAAAATAAATGCTTCTGTTCAGAGAACACCTTTCATGTCACATTTTCAGAGTCATCCAAGCAGTGTGTGTTAAGCATGACTTTTTTATTCTAATGCTTTGACATCTGGGACCTTGCTGACCCTGGAAGAAACTGTACCTCTAGGGCTAGCCAAAATTCCTAGAGATAGTAAATGACTTACCTGGGAGCATCTTTCCTATTCAAACCAACTAGCGGAGCCTCAGCCCACCACCTCCTGTTCTGGGATCCTGAGGACCTCCCACATTCTGCGCCATTCCCACCTTCCCTAATCATCCCAGGGCCAGGTAGATACCAGACAAGTAAGGACAACTCAAGACCTCTGTCTCGCCTATTCTTCCCCCAGAAAATCACAGTAAAACCACAGTGCCTCCTATTTCTGGAGATCTGTAACTATAAAAACTTCTTGCCATGCCAGGTAGTGCACACCTGTAATCCTAGCACCTTGGGAGGCTGAGGCAGAAGGATGGCAAGTTCGACACCAGCCTCAATAAATGAGGCTCTGTCTCAAAATAAAAATTTAAAGGAGTGGGGATGTAGCTCAGTGGTAGAACACTTGCCTAGCATGCTTGAGGCCCTGGGTTCAATCCCTAGGACCTCACACAAACTAGGTTCCCAAGACATGGGTGCGCGCGCGCACACACACACACACACACACACACACTTCTTCCTTACAGTCATCTGTGTCTCTACATGATTGAGTCAAATGCTAGATGCATTCTGAATACTGCATGTAAGAAGTCGGTGGAGCTCGAAATCTGTCCCTTAGTCTCCAAGTGGAGCAAAGACCCTAGAGAGGACAAAGGGACAGTGGCCATCTTGTCACTGCGCCACTGCTAGCACTCCACAAATGCTGGTACATAGGAGTGCCAGGCAAGCATCGTTAATGAATGAAAATTCAACTGTCCCCAGGCAGCGTGGAGCCAGCAAGAAAGGTTGGTCCTCCTGGGTGCTACACCCAAGGGCCTGGCAATTCTTTGTCTCAGTTCAGGCCAATAGCACACATTGGTCTTTGGGGAAAGAGGACACAGGGGTCCCCACAGGAGTCCACAGCCAGGCCACAGGGAATACAGACAAGGAGACCAACAGGCCAGTAGCTTCAGGGCATTCACAGAGATCAGATGAAGGGATCAGAATGGAGACATGACAAGGATTAAGGGACTGGACTCTGAGAGAAAGAAAAGAGGAGTCAGGTTCAAGCAAGGGAGACTCGTGGGCTCAGTGAGCAAAACCTTGTTTCAGCTCAACAAAAAACGGGAAAAGAAGTCCTGCCCAAGCTCAGGCTGACCTGCCTACAATCATGACTATTCTGGAACCTGGAAACAGTGCCAGCCTGCGTGTGGGGAGGCTGACCAGGGCAGAGCAGGGAAAGCAAAGCCAGGACTTCTTGGTTCCCAAGTGTGAGAATCCCTGACAATGTTTTCACGGATTGATATTAGAACATACAGCTGCACATTAGCCACACCAATTTCTGGACCTTAATTTAACTTCCTTTGTTCTGTTGCATACTTGCTCCTTCCCTGGGAACCCTGAACTATTACCAAAATATTATGCTAATTAATGGAGTTAGCAAAATGTCACCACTCGGGGGACATGAGCCCAGATTCTTATGCCTGGCTGAGGTTGAATGGTGAAGCTTGCATACATGTGTGGTAGAGCAGGGTCACCACGTCACTCACATTGCATGTGGCCATGCAGAGAGTGCGTGTTTTGGTCACTTTCTTATTCACCCATTCAATTGTTTTCATGAATGGGCACCGTCTTCTAGGTAAAGGCAGAAAATAGTAACTCCCTTTAATCCAGTCTAGCAAAGTGGGTCCAATGTAATCATTTGAAGAGTCTCTAGGTAAATAATATCTCAAGGCAAAACTTTTGTTTCTCAGATCCCCCTCTTTGCTGCCCTATTTCTTGTAAAGATGCCCTCTGAAGGCTGAAATGGCAGATTCTGGAAAAGACAGGGCTGTGTGCACAGATCTGATGCAGCAGCACTATAAGTGGGGTATGTTGACAGATCCTTGTGGGACCTTTAAGAGGAGATTAGGCCACGAAGACTGTGCCCTCATAAATGGATTAACGCTGTCATCGCAGAAGTGAGTTATCTCAGCAATGGGTTCCTTATAGAGGGATGAAATTGGTCCCCTCTTGCCTGCCCTCCCTCTCTCTCTCTTCCTCACTTTCTCTTGCCCTTCTACCTTCTGCCATAGAGTGACACAGCAAGGCAACCCTTGCTAAATGCCAGCCCTGGATCTTGGACTTCTCAGCCTCCAAAACTCCATAAATCTCTATCTCTTATAAATTACCTAGTGTCAGGTATCCTTTTATAGCAGCACAAAATGGATGAAGACACTTTCCTTCACCTTTTCCTTATTCTTCTCTGCAGAAAAAGTGACATTTTTGGTGAGATGAGAAGGTGGCAGCCATTGGACCATGATAACTGAGGGAGGAGACAAATCTGGGGGCTAAATTTGTTCTCATTTTGGTGCTCTGTGCTCTGTCTGCCCCTGAGCAGGTTTCATGTCTCTCTGCAGAGCAGCTGCCCATAAGGACTCCCAAGTCCACTTGGGGGAAGCTGGATGGAGGCCTGCTTTGGTTTCAGAGCAATCAAAAGCTCTACTTCAAGGAGTTATTGGGTTCTGCTCAGCCAGAAATAGAGCTGATAGTATTCTTCTCTTCATCTAGCTCCTGTGCAGTTCTGTTTTCAATGAACCTGATGGAGAAGGATAAGTACTCAATTGGCATTTGTAAACCACCCACAAATGCACTAACCATACACTGCGTTATAATCTTGGAGTGTTTTCCTGTATTAGTAAAATATAGCTGCTCTCTTCACCTAGCACATAAGCTCAAAAGCAGAAGCTACATATTCCACCTAGAGTAGCAGAAAACCAGTTGAACTAGCCATAGACATGACCCTTTATGACCATTCCTAGCGTGCTAGATACGTAGATTCCACAGACTGTGGCTTTAAACCACCACAAAGTCACCTGCTACTAGTAAAAAGTCACAAAAAGGTCAATTTTCAATAAACGGATAGTCTCAGCTTTGTAAACTATCTCCTAAATGGGTCACCAAAAATAAATCCTCTAAAGGAAGAATTGCTGAAGGATAAACGATGTCATCCCCTCTCCTTGGTAAGGCTGGCTTTCCTCCAGCCAGGTCCAAGTGACCTCAATTACTTACCACAAGTCATCTTAGTTAAATAAAATCAGTCTGCAGCCTGGGTGGCTGGGGCTCCATCCAGGAAAGCGACCGCACAGAGAGGGGATGGCTTCAAAACCTGCTGAAATCCATCCAGACAGTATCTGAGCTCCCGGCAAGAAGGAAATGCCACCACCATCTGCCTCTGTTTGTGATGACCTGGGAATAAATAAAAATTAACCTTGGCCCTTGAATGAATAATGGAGCTTATCAACACTTCCTTCGTGTCTCTAATGACTATTGTGAAACAAGTTTACAACGAATTTTGGAGGGACAGGGCAGGAGGGTCATTGTTCTAAATGGCCCTTTACCAGGCATGGTGCTTCTTGTCTGCTTTTCTCGTATTTTGTGCCACCGATGCACTTTAGACCCTGGGTTGCAAATAGGGAAAAATAAGGAAATGTGTTTTGGATTCAACAGAAATTCAACAAACCATTGGGGAAGACAGGAGAAAAGAAAAGAAGGAAGAAAGGAGGGGAAGAAGAAAGATCTGGTCAGAGGGAGGGAATGAAAATCGTGGTCAGACGGTCCCTAGTCCCTGAGGACATATGGGAGTCCAAGGTCCTGCACTTGACCTCTACCCCACTGTCAATACATAGGCCAGTTTCTGTACTAGTGGCCTAACACACATTCTTTTCTAGTGATCCCATGATGTAGGAGTTCCTATTTCACAGGTGAGGATATACTCTCCAAAATCTTTTGAAAATCCAACCCTGGACACTCAGCTAGTGAACAGAAGAGCCAGGATTTGAACCCTAGCATGGCTGACTCCAAAATCCAAGCTCTTTCCCTTCCTCTGCCTTGAGTCTCAGTGGAAACGACACTGAACACAGGGGGAAAACTATTATTAGCCATTAACTTTGTTTTGAACTAACAAGCTAGTCACTTAGTGAGGCCCTGAAGAAATGGAACAAGGTAGAAGCACATTTTGATTGGGTTAGGAGATGGGGAGGGAGAAGTATTGGGGAGGGCTCCGGAAAAGCAGAGGGGAAATGGCTCTAGATTACGGGATGCTAATTTAAGGTTTATTGGTTCTGGCATTTGCTGGACCTCTGATCACACACGCAGGCTCTCCTCAGAAAACACACGGCCGCAGGTGCGTCAGCATCGCACTTAGGATATGTTACCAGGGGTAAAACCAGCCAGAGCCTTCAAGGCCAAGAGGGCACGAGTAGATAAAGATGCAAGGTGTGTTTTTCATGAACGGGATTGGGCTGGGGCTCGGTCAATTTTGCCATGTTTTTGCAGTCTGCATACCATGGAAAATGTAAAGAAGAAGGAAAAAAGATGTTTTGATCAGATGGTTCATAGCAAGTGCCTCTAGAAGAGATAAAGAATGATAAGGCTTTCACCATGGTCAAAATCAGGAGGATTGGGTATCCCTCCTGGGGCTCTGATAGCCAAACTTGACACTAATTTTCTCTTTCAAATAATGATTCTAAATAAATACGTGTGAACGCTGTCCCCAGCAATCTGAATCAGCTGCAGAGACTTGTTGGAAGCTTGGAGAGCCGAACAAGCTATTTCTGAAACTTCTTTTGTTTTGTTTCACAAACATTATTTTCAACAAAGAGGGAAACATCCCTTACATACAGACATATGGTACCTTCTATTTATAACCAGATTAACAATTCATTCACACCTTGATTGAATCCTGCTTTATTGAGATGTCACAACAGATTCTCACAGCCTGCAAAGGGAAAGACTTACAAATGATAATATTATGACAAGCAAGACACCTAAAAGTAAATGAATCATAACTGACGACAATTAGAAAGAGTTCACCACAAACAGAATGAGTCGTGATGGTGAGCAGAGTCCCTCTCTTGCAGAGGGAGGATTACTGTGGAGAAGTTGAAATCCATTCACACCTGTTAATGCATAACTTGTTCAGTTATTGACGGGTGAAGCAACTCCATGGTTGGAGGGTTTTAACACGTGTTTGTGTTCCTGGTCCACAGCTTCACCTGGGCCTATTATTCTGGAAGGACAGGACTTTTTGGTCCTTCTCTGTGATCTGGCCAGAATCATGGGTATTGTCACTCACACCTTCTTTCGTTCATCCCACCTCAATCAGTGAGTCTTATCAATTTGGCTCTCTGTATTTCCTGAGCTCTCCATTTCTCACCATCTGTACTATTGCCACTGAAAGTGGAGACACCATTGTTTCACCTGAGAGCTTTCTTCCTGGTTCGATGCCTCCCATCGATTACCTGGAGTAATCTTTCTAAAGTGCTTTAATGTTTCTCTATGGCTCCCAACTGCTCTCAGAATAAGGGATGATTTTGAGGTCCTACAATCTTGCTTAAGACCTGGGCTGCATGGTGACTGAGCAGACTCTAGTGCAAGTCCTGATTCTACGGGGCAGGTGACCTTGGGGAGGTTGTGTAGCTTCTCTGACCCTCAGCTTCATCCTCAACAAAATGAGAACCCTAATAGTATCTATCTTACAACCATTAAGTACACACACACCTCTTGAGCCATTTTGAGCTATGCAAACCCCAGCTAAGCATGACCTTTTACATAGCGGGCTCAGCTCTGCACATGACAAAACTTTCTTCTTCAGCTGCTCCAGCCCTCAGGGCTTCTCCTCAGTTCTTTCAAGCACCAAATTCTTCCATTCTACACTCCTGAGCCTGAACCTAGGCATTGGCCGTCCCCTCTGACAGGAAGGTTCTCTTCAGCTCTTCAACGAGTCATCTGCCCCCAAACATTCTGCCTGGACAACCCTGAGTCATTTATTATGTCTCTGTTTCCATGTCATCTCTTTAGGAAAGCCTTCCTTGACTGCCCTGACCCCTTTATCCAGGGCCAAGCCAGATCCCTTTCTAAATCACTCACCATATACTCTCTACTTCTTTTCATGGCCCTTAACTCAGATGAAAAATCTGTGTTAACTTCTAGGAAGTGCTTATCTCTCCTTCATGACTGAGTTCAGTCGAGGACGAGGATTGAGTCTATCTTGTTGACTCTTAAGTCTCCTGGACCTTAATTTGTTGGATGAACAAATCTACTTCAGGCTGCCTCCCTCGTTAATGGACAATATTAGTTGACTTCCAAGGGTAGGCGGAATAATAGCGCCCACAGATGCCTGATCTCTAGAACCTGTGAATATGTCAGCAGACAATGGCAAGAGGACTTTGCAGATGGGATCAAGGATTTCAGATGAGGAGATCATTGTGGATTATCCGGAGCTTATCCACGTGGGCCTAAAAACATCACAGGGTCTGTACAAGTGGAAGAGGGAAGCAGGAGAGTCAGGGTCCAAATGATGCACTGTGAGAAAAACTCCATCAGCCGTTGCTGGCTTTGAAGATGGGGAGGGGACCAGCAGTCAGGGGATGTGGGTGGCCTCCGGAAGCCAAAAAGAACCAGGAAATGGATTCTGTACTGGAGCCTCCAGAAGGAACCAGCCCTTTGCCACCTTGATTTTAGTCCTATGAGACCCACTTCTGGCTTCTAACCTCCAGAACTATAAGATAAGAAATTCATATTGTTGTAAGCCACCAAGTTTGTCATTTGTTCCAGCAGCCATAGGAGACGATCGGACCCACTTACCGGAGGTCAGACCACAGTGGAGGAGCCAGGGCCAGAATGTAAGCGTCTCCACCTCACAGCCCCTCTTCCTTCCACCACGCTGCCCGGCCCCTGCCTCTCAGACCTTGGTTTTTCCAATTTGCTCTCATCTTCTGTTTCAGAGGAAGAAATCATTAGAGATGCAGCTGCTTACATGCAGGAGCATGTGCAGGAAGCGTGGATGCACAGCTGTGAGTGTGCGAGAGAAGGTGTGTGGGATTAGAGAGCTCGGAATGGCCTCATAATGGAATCCCCGGGGAGGGCCGAGGTCCCAGGCCAGCGACGCACACACGCCCATCTTCTCCCATCAGCGCCGCACAAAGCTTGACAGGGGCTCACTCATGTTTCAAAGCGCTCCTTCTTTTCAGAGCTATTTGTTATTGTCTCTGCCATCACAAGTTTAAAAAAGGAAAGTTAATTAAATATGGAACAAGACTGAGCAACATCTTTTAAACCATCATGTCATTAGAACTGCAGTCCTCAGAGAGATGCCTAAAAGGGGTTTGAGAACAATGACTGTTCAATCAGATATTTATGGGCATAGTTATGTAAACACACTCTTTATTGTCTATGTATATTTAATATAATTATCAGTTTTGTAGTTGGACTCTCCAGAGACCCAACAAATCACAGTATTGCTTTGAAAATGTCAGCAGAAAAGACAATTATGTTGCTAGCAAATATTCATAAATTATATTAAAAAGTCCTGTGGAAATGTCCCCTATGTTGCAGAAGCCTCCTCGGTAACTGAATAATCCTTTTATTTCTTTGATTTAAGGGTGATTTTAGAAGCAAGAAGGTTCTTTGTGAAAGCCTAAAGGCATGAACATAGCCCAGGAGCAGGCCAACCTTGGAAAACAAAAGCATGTGCATTCCAGAAAATTCAGAGCCCATTCATCGTTTTCCTCTGGCTGGCTCTCTAACCAGCTCGAATGTGCACATCCATCCAGGTACGTGTAGACACCTGCTCACAAATTTTATTTCCTAAAATGCCCCATTAAAAAGAGAAGATAAATTCAATCTGTTCGCTCCTTGAGTACCTACTTAGAGCCATAACTCTTTCCTATGGCATTTTTTTTCTTTAGAAACTATTTATAGTATTTCCCATTTTTTTCCCCTTGTATCATTTTTTCCCTCATTATGCACATGCAGAAATAAGTGGGGAATGGGGAAATTGCTCGGTAAATTAAAATGCACCCGGCTCTCACTAAACCAATATGAGGGGTGGAGGTTGATAAACACCTAGTAAGCATTCACAAATCACTTCTATTGCAAGATATACAATCTGCAAATCAACATCTTAATTAGCAGCTAATGACATTTGGAAGGAAAGGTTAATGTTAAGTGCACAAAAGCAGGGTGGTTTAAAAAAATGTAGATTTTTCCTGCCTTCTTATAAAAAATAAAGAAGGAGAGAAAAGATACCCAGTGATTATATTGGGTGTTATAAATATATATGTATTGGCAATTTGAAGCATCTTAATTATATAAGGTCTGTATTGATAGGCTACCTTTCATCTGAGGAGTTCAAAGCACTTTGCCTGTATCTCATTTATCCTCCAAATACCCCTC